AGCCCTAAACCCAAGCCCCCAAACGACATGCAGCCTTACTCCGTTAGGCTTATAGTATGTATCCCTACAGATGCCTTACAAAAAACCTCAGTAAGCCCTTCAGGGTTTAGGACGCCCACAGGCGGTGCTTCAGCGGGACAGCTGTGGCCAATGGTCAGGCTGCCTGCAGTTTCGGTTTTTAGGGCATTGGGCTTCGGGTTTAGAGTTTAGAGTTGAGGGTTTCGGGTTTTAGGGGTTTGGGTTGTTTTGGGGTTGAGGGGTTCGGGTTTTGGGTTTCGGGTAGAGGGTTTTTGTTGCGAGTTTAGGGTTTTGGGTTGTTTCGGGTTTAGGGTTGAGGGTTGAGGGTACAGGGGGGTGGGGATAGCAACCGCAAGCTCTGAGCCAAGAGGGATGGAGTTTCAGGCGGCATGGTCTGATGTTCATCTAAGATGTCTGACTGCACAACCCTAAACCCTAAACCCTTACCTGACACGCTCCAGCCTCGAGCTTTCAGGGCTTCGGGGGCTCTGGGTTCAGAGTTTACGGACACCAGAACACCTTCAAGACCATACTATAGGGGCCTGACCAGTTGCCAATCCGTGTTAGCCACCGTACGCCCCAAACCCCAAACCCCTAAACCCCAAACCCTAAACTCCTACAGAACCCCTATGGATCCCTTTAAGGTGCCCTTAAGGTCCCTTTAAAGGAACCCTAAATCCAAAACCCTAAAACCCCAAACCCCCAAACCCCTAAAACCTGAAGCCCTGAATCCCTTAACCAGAACTCAGCAGCCAAGACTCCCTACGTTAGTGTTTAGGTCTGAGGGTTTAAGATTTGGGTGGTTGTCAAAATTATGGCCCTTTTTGGGTACCCTAAATAATAGGTGCCGTATTATAATAGGGACCCAAGAAGGGACCACCCATTTAATGTTTTAGGGTTCAGAGTTTAGAGTTAGCACAAGATCTAGAGTTCAGCGTTTTGGGGTTCAGGCATCTAGGGCTCAAGCGTTCTAGGACTTAGGGTTTAGGGATTCAAAGTTTAAAATTAGTGGTTAGGGTCTAAGATTTAGGCTTGAGGGTCTTAACATTCAGCCTCAAACGCCGAACCCAAGCACGAAACCTTAAATCGTAGTTCTAGATCTCCAGAGCTTGCTTGGACGCAGCAGCTGAAGCGCCCGATGCATGAGGCTCAGCCCACGTGAGCCCAACAGCCTCGAGCTGCCAAGCTCGGAAGTCCTAAGCCCTAAGCCCTTTAACCTGAACCCTAAATCAACAATCTAAGCACTAAATCATAACTCCTAACCCTAAGCTTTGGAGGTGGTACAGAGACTGCTCCCTCCGGCGGTGCCCTTCGCTGTGTGGATCCTGACAGATGAGCCATGCCCGCAAGCCTTATAGGGTTCAAAGTTTCGGCTGCGGGGATTTAGGGTTTAGGTTAAGGCAAGGTCAGGAAATCTAGCGAATCCTGCATGATCAGGTTTTGCTGGGCTTAGGAATTGCAGGGTTCGGGGGAGATTTCGCCGCCAGAGCTTCATATGGAATTTAGGGTTTAGTGTTTATCAGTTTAGGGGTTTAGGGTTTAGGGGTTTAGGGTTTGGGGGTTTAGTATTTTAGGGTTTAGCGTACAGGACAATTCGAAACTCCTGCCCCTTACCGGCCTAGAGGAACCCATAGAAAGCCTAAAGGAACCATGAAAAAAGCCCCTGCAAGTAGCCTTACAGGAAGCCTTCGGGAACGGTTCAGGGTCCTTTTGAGCTCACCGGTTCCTACTCGTTGCTATCTATGGTAGAAGCCCAAAAGTTGGAAACCTAATAGCCTCAATCTTTAAGAGTAATGTTCCACTCTAGTGGAACAACATGCCTTATCTACATCTCTTGTTCGCACCCTTAGGCAAGCAATCACTCAATCAATCTAGAGGTCGTAGCCGACACAGCTCAATTTTGAATCCGGGATTGCGCCAATGCCGGATCTCGACGCCCAGATCGCTATGGGACCGAATCGTTTGTGGCACGAGCATAAAACCTCCTTCGACAAGGCCAAGGCCTGCTGGTTCAATCCCCAAACGGGGCACAGACTCAGCTTCGAGAGGGCATCCATCGCGGACGGGGAGATCGAGTGAGGCGCGCTGTAGGATGATCTGCTCCGCATATTCAGCCCTGACCCACCCTTGGATTAACACTGGGTGAGGCTTTTGCGTTCAGGCTCCGAGGCGTGGGAAGATGGAAGCCTTTGCTGCGCGAAGGGACACAGCTGACGCATCAAAGCTATTCAAGGCTCCAAAGAGAAAAGCCCACACCCCCTAAACCCTAAACCCTAAACCCTAAACCCTAAACCCCTAACCCCTAAACCCTAAACCACCTACACCCTCAACTGAACCACACAGGCCCTAAAGCCTAAACCCCAATCATGGAACCAACCCCGAGATGAGCGGTTTAGGGTTTAGGGTTTAGGGTTTAGGGTTTAGGGTTTAGGGACATCTCGTATGGTAAAGCCCGAAAGGTTGGAAATCGGATTAAGGTCAAATAGTGCTGGATTTCCATATACCCCCGAAACCCTACTCCAAAAATAAGTATTGAGACCCCTAAACCCTACACCCCAAAACCCCTAAACCCCACACCTCTAAACCCCTAAACCCCTAAACCCCTAAAGCCCTAAACCCCTAAAACCCTACATGTTATTGAGGCCCCTATGTCAAGAACTTCAGTTTTGGTGTTCAGACTAGACATCCGATATCTCGCGCTGCCCAAACGCCCAAACTCTAAAGTAAAAGCCAGAAAGTTGGAATATGATTATCCTAAACCCTTTATGGTAAATTATAGGGTATCCTACCCTGAAACCATATTCCAACTTTCTGGAGTTCCCTGTAAACCCCAAGACTCTCCGGAAATCCGAAGCCCTCGCCCCTTAAACCCCTGAACCCTGAAGACTACAGCTTCATATACCCAGAGATTCCCATATCCTTTAATTAAGGAATACCTAGGGTTCCCTTAAGGGTTCCTTTGAAGGATCTATAGGGTTCAGGGTTTGGGGGGACTCCAATACCTCTTAATTAAGGAATATACCTTAAATCATATGAGGGACCCTACTATAAATTTAAGGTATATTCCTTAATTAAGGGGTATTGGGGTCTCTGGGTACAGCTTCAACCGCAAACCCTAGGACCACGATGGCAGCGGGATCGCGGCTGGTCATTGTGCGAACTATGACTTCGAGCTGGCGCTAGGTGCCAGCATAAGATTGGGGGGGGTAGACTTTTTGGGGGTTTAGGTTTAGGGTCTTAAGGTTCTGGGGTTTTATTGTTCAGGGTTTACGTGTAGAGATTTCCGAATGTGTGCATGATATGGTGAGGTAGGGCGGCATATCAATGGGTATGGTCAGACCTACCTTTGGAGCACGCTTTCTGAGCAGTTCTTTGGCAAGCTGGTCAGCCTCACCCCAAACCCGACACCCCAAAATGCAAATATGCCTTGATCCAAGAGATTTTGTCCGGCATGCAGCATTGGTGAAAACCCACTTTCTATATCTGTCATATACCCTCGAGCAAAGGCGTATCTACTATCCGTGGTAAAGATCGACGTGAATATGAAAGTTGGTAATATTACTGGTATTCCTGTTACCTCAGTCTTGATGTTAGTACTGGTATGGTATCCACAGATGTCAGAACGGGAATGACAAGGACACCCGAACAGCCATCACGATAGCAACACAAACGAAAAGGGTTCAGCTTCTTCGTTTTCCTTTTCTTCTCAAGTCTGAGCCAGTCGGTTTGAACCGTTCACAGAGCTGCCGTTTAGGGTGTTACTACAACAGCCATCTCATCGAGAATCTGGTGAATTGAGTTAGCAAGACGCCGAGATCCCTGTTCTTGCGGCCCGTGTACAAGGTTTGCTTCATGGCTTTGGGAGTGTATGTTCCTGCAGCCGCGACCCACAAAAGGGCCAGAGGTGACGACAAGCCGAAGGCACACCATTGGACAGATACCCTCCGCCATGTTATCCGGCGAAGCCCTAAACTCCAATACGAGCATCTCAGCTTAAATTCAAAACAATTAACTACGCTGAACCCTAAACTCCCAAACCCCTGGGGCTTTAAACCCTCAAACCCTCAAGCCTAAGCCCCCAAACCCGAATGCCTAAACCTTGCTGAACCCTTGAAGGAATCCTGGAAAAGCCTTTACGGAACTCTTGAAGGAACCCCTTGAGCAACCCTTTAAGACAGCCTTTGAGGAACCTTTTCACAGGCACTTCTGCGAAATCCTTTAAGGAACCCTTTCAGTGACTAGACTCCCAAACCCCTTGAAGCAGGGCCCATCGAGCCTTCACAGCTGACCTCCGAGTGGCTTGGAAAGAAGTTCTATAAAGGCTCTGATAAAAGCACGCTGAGAAGGGTTCTCATAAAGGTGTAGGGTTTTGGGTTTGGGTTGTCATGAGGGTTTTTCATAAGGGTTCGTAGAAGCAAGGGTTCTTATGAGAGTTCTGGTGAAAGTCCAGGTTCTACCGGGGTTCAGGGCTTAGAGCTTCGGTCTTCAGGTTTTAATGGTTTCTTGGTGTCGGCTCTGGGGGGTTCAGGGTTCAGGGCAAATCCAGGGTTTAGGGGGTTTAGGGGGTTTAGGGGGTTTAGGGTTTAGGGGGTTTAGGGGGTTTAGGGGGTTTACTGTAGGGGGTTTAGGGGGTTTAGGGTTTAGGGGGTTTAGGGGGTTTTTTGGCGGACACCCCAGACAAACGTGCGCGGCCAATTCGCATGCGGTCCTCGGAGGCAAAAGCGCACTTGCAGGCGCACCTCAAAACAGACGGTGAAAAGGCAGACTGAAGTCTGCAGGTTGCGGGAAAAAAGCCTAAGCGGCGACCTCCGGCCCGGTTTCACCGATCTCCGGGTTTAAAGTCGCCCAAAAAGGCTGTGGGCCAGCAACCGCGGTTGCAGGCCTCCATGCGTACGAACCTGACGTGGGGGCAGGCGCCTCCGGACAGATGTCAGACTCGTGGTAAGCTGCCAGACAAGGTTTTGAACGGGACAAGTGTTCAGTCAGTCTCCGAAGTGTCCAAAACTCTCGGGAGCAGCGCTGGCAGCTGGTGCCGAAGGCACTCTGCACCGCAAGGCTGCGGCATTTGTGCCGCCGCGCCAGATGGACTGTAAGCTGGCGGTAGGAAGCATATGAGTTGCTGCACTGGGGGCAGGCCCAAGGCAATCCTGGCCCACCAGCAGCGACTGCGGTCGCCTCATCCGGTGGACCAGGAGACTTCGGTCGAAACTGCGCCCCTTGCGGCCTTCTTTCAAGAATTTGCAGCACAGTCGTGAGACAACTCCGCGATCTGTGCGTATCATCCGCTGGAGCTCCGCCACATCCTCCGGTCGGCGGTCGAGGAGGCCGACCGTGATGGCGGCATCAGTCGCCTGTGCCCACCACGGGCTCGAGGCTTGTAGGCAGCTCAACACCCTCCAGAGACCGGCCCGGGCAACTTCCGCCAGGGTGCGTGCCCTGTGTGTGAGGAGAAGCTCATCGGGGGTCTGCATCCCTAAGGCGGAGACGACTTCCAAATTGGTGAATCCTTTGCAGGACACACCCAGGATGGGTCTGAAGGCTCCTCGGTACATGCGGTACACCGTGTCCTCGAACTTGACCCGCTCACGTGAGGTAGACAGGACTAGCATTCCTGCTCCGTGCAAGAAGCAAGGCAAAATGCGGGTCGTCAGGAGTCCGCACTTTTCGGCCTCCGTCAGGTAAGGGTTGGAAAGGAGGCGTCTGCGAACGGGCCTGTAGAGAAGCATGGCCTGTCGCTCTCGGTGGACCAAGCCCGGAAAGTCGCTGCCATCTGCCCTGAGGACGCATCCGAGATGAGTGTACTCAGGGACAAGACGTACACATTGGTCACCGTTGGGCCCGGGGAAGGTGACGGTTGGGTGTGAAGTGCACAGCATATCCCGGCGGACGTTCTGAGAGCCCTGCCCGTGCACAACAATCATGGCTTCGGTTTTGCCCTCCCCAAGGTTTGCCTCAAGACCCTGGATGTGCATGCCATGGGTGACCCCTCGCATTATGGTGGCCACTGCTTGGGGTACCCCTTCGGGCCGGGAGGTCTGAAACAGGATGCAAACATCATCCGCCCATGTCGGGGCCGAGGAAACCTCATTGTCAGTGGGCTCGCTGTTGCAGAAAGCAGCGAAGGCCTGACAGCCTTGTTCTGCCAATATGTCCTCGATCGAATGGAGGAAATGTTGGAAGGCAAGACCGAAAAGGAGGTCAGCGATCGGCGAGCCCGGGACCGTGCCGCTTTCGGCTTGCATGACATTCGGCGAATCGGCCCTGCCCGAAAACCAGGTGCCGTCTAGCTGTTTCCTGAGCAGGGTGGCTAGGACAGGCTGTCGGTGGAGCAGGTCGGGTACGGCATGTGCCCGCAGAGCAGCGATGAAGTCATCCTGTTGACCCGGATCCTTGAAGAAAATCCGGGCTCTGGCTCGAACCCAGGTGTCCGACTGAAGCTCTTGGGGGGAGGCATGCAGCACTTCGCGTGCGATGCTGTAATAAGCCGCCCGGCAATCCACGAAAATAGCGCCGCCGCTTCCCCTGCTGTGGTGAAGAAACTGCAAGTGGGCGCGGGCACACAGGGCTGGGAGGGAGATGGGAGCCCCGGCCACCCCGCCATAATGGGTGGCGGTCTTAATCCCCAGGAAGGTGCTGTGGAGCAAGGGCCGCAGTGAGACCTGTGCGGCCTTGGCGGTAGGCTCAAGGAGTAAGACAGACCTAAAGCCTCCAAGGGTCGACCCGTCTTTTCCTGGTTTGGGAACGGCGGCGGCCGCACCTCCTTTCCACTGAAATGGAAATCCGTCGCGGACGGTTGCCTTTGCCAGGATAGGCCACACTGCCCTGGCACTCGCCATGGGGTCTGCCCGAAACACTTCAGATGGGAGTTGGGAGATTCCCGGTGCCTTGTTGGGCTTGAGCTGACCAAAAGCCGCCGCCAGTTGGACAACACTGGGCAGCGACTCCCCATCTAGGGGCACAGGAGCAGGGTCTGCCTCAGCCGCCCGATCCAAGAGGCACCTGATGGATACAGGCCTCGCTCGCTCCGGTGTGGCGAAAAATCGAGCGAACTCATCCAACACATCTTCTCGCCCGGCACACTCGCCACTGCTGCTGTGGATGACGGGGAGAAGCGGAGGGCTTCGAAATTTGCGGCCGGTCCGCAGGACAGCCCGGAGCTTGTGTGAGAACTCACGGGGTCCCTGATCTCGTGCATCCGCGATAGCCTTTCGCGCGAAACATGCTCTGTCCTGTAGGATAGCCTTAGTCAAGGCGTCCCGTAGCTCACGGCACCCCGCTGCATGTCGCTTTTCCAGGCGGATTTGTGCCTCTAGCTGTCGAAGGTCACGCACAGTGGCAGGTCGGTTGCAGACCTGCGTAAGGATGTCGGTACAGAGTCGCAAGGTGCGGGCTCTGACGACGCGGAGGCAGCGTCGGGCATGTCTCTTGCGGACAACAAGGGCAATCGTATCTGCGGAGAGCGCCGGGTTGCGCGGTTTTGGCGGCGCAGGCGGCAGAGCCTGAAGGCATGCATGCAGGTGGCGGTGGACTGTGTCCAGGTGGCTCGTGGTGTCCAAGCTCCAAGGAATGGCGGGCATGCTGGCGAAGGCTGCCCTGACAAGGGATTGCCCCTGTGGGGTGCGCAGGGCATCAATGTTCACACGGGGGGCAGCTGGCCGTATGCTTGTGTCACAAGTGACATCCAGACACAAAAGAACCGGGAAATGGTCTACATCGCAGTGCAGGTCATTAAGACACGGAGTGTCCAGGGTGGCCGCAGCAGGTCGCCAAGCCCGCGGGAACAAGATGTAGTCCAGTAGCGCTTGGTTCCCATTTGGGCTGCGCCAGGAGGTCAGCGGAGCTCCCGTGTTGGAAAATTGCTGGCTTATGTCCGCACCGATCGCCTGTGCAAACTCCCGAAGGTGTTCGCAGTTCCGAGTTTTGGGTGTCGCTTCCAGCGTGTCCGGGTATGCCGGATCTTGCACAAAACGCGCATTAGCGTCGATGCAGGTTATGAGCACAAAACGTGGAGGGATCCGTCTGACTTGGCTGTGTAAGGATTCCCACCATTCGGCAAGCGATTCTGGAGAACTGACGGCAGTGGGTGCGTGCGCAACAGTGATGGCCAAGTCCAAGCCATTAACGCGCGCTAGGACAATGAGGCATTGGGGGGTTGCGCAAAGAATGGAGAGCGCCTGTCGGTCCCAGGAAAGGCCCGGCTGCTGCGGGTTTATCCAAACTTGGGCCCCGCCTGCGCCGGCCTCGTCGCTGCTGGCACTTAGCACCCACCATCCTTGTGAGTGACTGAATCCAGACCGCTTTTCCCTGGTCTCCTGGAACCCGGCGACGGACACGCCATTGGCCCGGAGTCCCTTGGCCATGAGCTCGTGTGCAGCGACCCCTTTCAGGGAGAGAACGTTGTAGGTGAGGAGCCGGAGTGGCAGTCGGCATTGTTTAGGTTGCTGCGGGTCTTGCACAAAACCTATCGGCAGGCTTGGTGGGGGTCGCACCCCCGTCCGTTGACAGCTGTCGGTCCAGGTGCCATTGCTGTGGACCGGAGGGAGACCGAGGCATGTGGCTGCCGTCGCGCAAAGGAGCCACAGACGCTCAGGCACACACTCCTGGACAGCTTCAGAAAAGACAGAGATCTCCCAAGGCCATGGATTGCCACACCCGGCACGGCCGGCTTGCTTAGCCAGGGCATCTGCGAGGTCATTGAGACCACAGCCGGAGTGTGCTTCGACCTTGTGTAGGAGAACCAGGATGCCAGAGCAGTGAGCAAAGTTGAGAAATCCTAAGAGAGCTCTGGTGGCTGGGTGGGCCTGATGAGCACCTCCCGCTGAGGAGATCAGGTCCAAAGCAGACTGACAGTCGCTGGCGATGTGGACGATGCCTGCCCCAATCGTACATGCGAAGGCAGTCGCATGTAGTAGCCCCTCCAGCTCACCTTGGAAGGCAGACTCCTTGCCAACGGTTGCCAAGTGCACGGTGGCTGCATGGAAGCCAGCTCTGCAAACACATGCACCCTGACGGACAACAACAACCAGAGCCCAAGAGGCAGTTGCGTGTGGTCCGTAGTAGGAGCCATCAGTGAAGAGGAACGCTTCATCGCATCGTACCTGAGGGTCCCAGGGAGGGAGTGTTCTCCAAGCTTTAGCAGCTGCGCGCAAGTCTGTCTCCAGCGGGGACAGGTCGGAGTGCAAGCTTTCAAGGTGGTGTGAGCAGAGGCACTGCTGTGCGATATCATGATCGACGGCCCAGCCGATGCAGGGGCCCGGCAATGGCAGCAGAGAGTCAAGGGTCAGCTCCACCGGCTGGGTCAGGTGGGGCGGCGACACGGCATCAGGGCCAGTGCTAACGGGAAGGTTCGACAGGGAACCGCCTTCAACCGTTAGTGACGTGGTTTCAGTCCCTGTAGGGTTGTGGGCACAGGTGTCGGGGCCAGCAGAGGTAGATGGGTGTCCATCGGTGCCCACTGTCGCGGGAAGGCTCGGTTTGAAACCGCCTTCTATCGCCGGTGCAGTTTTACAGATGGAAGGGAGCCGTCTGCGGCCGAAAGGCGTAGGGATGACGGGTCGAGGTCCGTTGCAGTCAGTGGGGTCCCGCGCGGGAGACACTCTCCTGGCATGTCTTTGCAGCAAGCCTACGGCATCTTCCAAGGGCTCATCCCCCGGGAGATCGGGATCGTCAGAAGGATGGGGCTGACTGCGCCTCACTGCCTCGCTGGTAGTGTCTTCCGGGTCGCGGGGGAGCGGCTGGGTGTCCTCCATGTCCTCAATGTCACTGGAGTCTGGCACAGGTGGGATCGAGAAAGGGCCCTGAACCAAAACGCCTCCGTGCCGAAAGTTGGGATCGGGGTGGAAAATGGAGACAGTCGTGGCAGGTACGCCCCTCGCCTGGCGTGTGGAGGATGGTAGCAACAAGACAAGCCACCTACCCGGGAACCCCGGAGCAGGCGACAAGATTGTGCTGAGTCCGGAGTTGCGCGCAGCCGTGACGAAAACGGGGTTACCTGCGTCCCCAGCACTCGAAGCAGCAATGTGGTCCCAACTGGGGGTATTGTCCAGCCGGTTGAGGTACGAAATGATCTCAGCATGGTCAAGGGGGCGGCCCTCGGGGACACACAGTCTCAAGTCTCCATGCTGAGGGCCAATAATCCAATGGTGCTGAGTGGCATAAAAATTCAGCCCAATGCGCCAGCGTCTGTCACGGAGACGTGGCAAGTACATGCGCCGGAAATGGGAGAGCCGAAAAGGCCATGAAAACATGCCTAAGGCCGGAATCAAATCAAGCACAACCCCTTGTGGCGTAGATGGAGGCCTCTGACCCTCCTGAAACGGCTGAAGAAAGTCTCCGTGGGAAACACAGCGGCTCGCAAGATGAACAGGAACGCCATTGACGGTCGACATCCACTGTCGGTCCCGCCATTCTTGCGAAGTCACAAATTCGAGGACGGTATAAGGGTCGGCGTGCTGAGCTGACAAGGCGCCTCCAACATTGCGAGCATCCCAGACAAAAGGAGTTGTGTCGCTGTCGTCTGAGATCAGGAGCACAACCTCTTGCACATACCCCAACGCCGGTGGGAGGGCTCTCGCAAGAACAATAGTCGAAGAGGCTCCGAAAGCCGAGGCAGCCGCATGGTGATGTAGCAGGCGGGCAAGGGCCTCATCGAAAGTGTGGTAGGGGGGCTGCACATCAATGCTGGCGGAAACCTCGCCTCTGAAAATGATGAGGCGTATGCACGGTTGTGCACCAGGTTCCCCTCTTGCATAAGCCGCAGTGGTGGTTGCAGTGGTCTCAGTTGCCCCTGTGCCTCCAAGGAACAGAGGCGAGTGCATCACATTAAGCCGAAAGTCACCCCCTAGGATCCTAAAGGCCCGGAAATGCTGGGAATCGGTTAGGTCTTGAGGAAGGCGTGCCGGCAAAGGCCCAAGAGCGTCTGCCAGGTGTATGTGAGCAGTTCGCCACAAGCCATCCAGATCCGTCCCAGGTGGCAACGTATTCTGAAGAGATCGAAGTGCATCGCTTGTGGGTTGGTCTGGGCGGTGGATGATGGTCCTGATATTGAACCCGAGGGAGCGAAGATCCCAAGGAATGGGGAGATCGCCGGGTTGTTGTGGTTGACCGGCCAAAACAAGCTGTGGCTTTGGCAGTCCTCCGATCGGGTCTGTTAGCACCATGAGGCTGCTGACGGGGAAGGGAGCCCTCGCCACTGCAAGTGCCACGATAGACTCAAGATCCGCCCCTGTATGGCACTTCTCAACGGCCATGTGTCGTGCCCCGTCAAAGACGGTGTAAGTGCCGTATGTGTTTGGCGAACTTGTGCCCCAACGGAAGGAGGTGACGATACGGTCGAAGTATCGCCAGTCACGAAAAGCAGAGGGCACAATTTGCACATGTTCAATGGCAAGCTTTTGCGCGTCCGAAGGGTGCACGGCATCGCGTAGAGCAAGACCAGGAGTTAGGGGTGGGTCTCCAACCTCAGGGGGATGAGCAACTGGCTGGCCAAGCGCCTGCGTGGCACCTGTAGTTCGGGCTAACTGTCCCTTACGCGCATCTGTCTCGAGAAGGTCTCGGGCAGAATTGGGTGTGCTGGGCTGCGGAGCCACAAGAGGCTGTGGCACGAACCTCAGAGTCGCCGGCATACGGCTGGAGCGATCCTCACGGGCACGGGTCAGTGCAGCAGTAGGTACCGACAAGGTACCGACCTTCCTGCTGCAAGGAGGCGAGGCTGGACAGGTCTCAGGAGCCAGAGCGGTAGGTTCCGACAGGGTACCGACCTTCCCGCCCGGCTGAGAAAGGGGGCCCTCCTGGGCAGAGTGAGGTTCCCTCGCGAGGGTCAGGCCCGGTTGTTGAAAGAGGGCGAGAGCTTGGTCAACAGTGCCTGGCTCTTCCTCGGGCTGTTCGTGCTCGACCAGGAGCCAATCGTGCGCTTCGACAGGGTCGTGAATGCGAGCGACGATGTCGCCAGAGGCATCTCGAAAGCGGCAATGGGGCACATCCAGAAGACTGTCAGGCCAACATCCCTGAGTCACCAAAAGGGCCCGGAGTTGGACCGCATCCATGCCTGCTCGAACACAAATGACACACACCTGCTCGTGCCACGGCCTAAGGTCCACCGGCAAACAGAAGTGTCCTGGCGGCTCCCAGGGTGGAGTGAGGACAATCTGAGGCGATGGCAAATCAGCAAGTGGTCGTCTTAAAAAGACGCCGACCCTAGGGACGTAGTGCACAGCTGCGATCGCATCCGCCAAGTAGTCAATCGGTGCCCATTGGTGGTCAGAAGGTCGCAAGAAGACGTGGCGTCGAGGGTCCATGACAACATAGCGGCCAACGCCAACAGGGTCTGCCGGAACCGAGCAAAGGGCCGGGATGGTGGAAATCGGCTGGTAGGGCAGGGGCCCTGTGATGGTGTCAGGTCGCATCTCGACCTGTTCAGCTATCACCTGTGACAACATGGTCGGTTTCCTCGGCCTGGCGGATAATCCTGACGGTGATTCAACTTTTCCACCGGGTGTCTCGGTGGTGTGGAGGTCTGCAGTAGGTTCCGACAAGGTACCGACCTGCCTGCAGCAAGGATGGCCGTGTGTTGGCGCAAGGCCAGCGCCTGCACCTGGGGCTGCGTGGAATCCCTGGCGGTCACTGCATGTTGGGACCTGTACCTGAAGAGGCTCGGTGGAGAAAAGGGCAGTTGCTGTGTGGCTCTCAGGGCGCACAAGCTGCGACAGGGTGAGCGCGGGGGAGTCGTGGCTGACATCATTCCCTGGAGGGCACCTGCCAAACGGCCTATCAGAAGCCCTTCGGGCCGAAAAACCTGTACAGTTGCTTTCCTCAGATCTGTACAGGTCTTCACAGCTGTGGTCGATCTCGTAGCTCCATGTCTCACAGAAAGCTTCGAATCTCACGATACAGCATTGACGACCTTGTGCATCACCGTGTCGTTTGAGAATTCCTTTTGGCGCCGAGGAAAAGGGAGGATGGGTCTCGGCACGTTCAAGGTCCTCCGTCTCAGGGGGGATGGTGTCTAAAGCGCTGCCCTGTCTGTCTACCATGCACAGTGGTGGCTTCAGAACACCTCCTTCCGAGACCAGAGGCCCCGGATCGTGCTCGAGCTCCTCGCATTCATCCTGGCCAAACCATCGCTCACGAAAGGCCCTGCCCCCTTGCATGCTGGCAAGGCAGGCGAGCTCGGGCGCAGTCGATTGGATGCTGCAGCAAAAATCCCAGAGAGACGCGACTCCGATGGCCTCTGCCGCGGAGAGGAAATCCTCCTCTTCCATCACGGAGTGCCAAAAGCTGTAACCCGGCCACTCGCTCCCACAAACATCCACCTCCTGGGGCGATGTGTGCGGTCCTAGGACACTGGAGCTGCGGCCTCGCCAGGGGGCGGTGCTTCTTGTACCGGTTCCCTGGTGTTGGTGGTTTGGTCTTTCTCGCGGCCTCGCCTCCTCGGGGTGTCGGCCTCTGTCATCGGCAGTCGGGCCATGAGGGTATCCAAAGTGACCCGCAGCTTCTTCTGTGCTTGCACGACTTTGGGCTCCGCCGCCTCCTGGGCGCCGGAGGTGCCCGCATCCACCAGCAGTTCCAGGTCGGACTCCTCTTGTACCGACATGGTGCCATCTTCCTCCTGGTGGGGCGCAGTCGTGAGATCGCGAATAGCCTGTCTGGCCGCAGCCAATTTGGTCTTTGCATCCTCCTCCTGGCTGAGGTAGGTGTCCACGGTCTCTTGATACTGTTTGGCTCCCTTCTCCAAGGCCTGGATGGTCCCGTTCAGGAACTCCACCCATTGGTGCTCGTGCTTGGCTTTGGCTGCCTTCACTTCTTGGAGTCGTCTCTTGGCTGCTCCAAGCTGGGCTGTCTGGGAGTGCAAGTTCTTGGTGAGGCGCCGCCCAGTGTCGGCCTCCAGCTTCGCCACAGCCTCCGCAATAGGCTGCGGCAAGGACTGGCCAGGAAAGTAGCCATGAACCGCTTGCAAGAGACCCTGTAAGGAGCTGTCGTCGGCCGCGGTGCTTGCCGTGGTCGCCTGCCACGGTATCGGTGGTGCCATCCAGTCGCTCGGCAACGCGAGCCCCTCGGGCACCTGTCCTTTGGTAGTGCCCTTTGTCGGGCCTTTTGGCTTGCTCGGCGCCCCACCTTTGGGGTGCCACGGTCGTTGCCTGGGCGATGGAGGTCTCCTCGGCGACTTCGGCGCCGCCGGTCTTCCGTACGGCTGGAACTCGGGCGCCGCCGCCGTCTTCCAGTGTTGTCCGCAGGAAGGACAATAATTTGCTGTCATCTTTACCATTTGTTTGCATTGCATACATTTCCAAGATCCTGCATTGGCCATCGTGATGCTCCTCAGGGCAGTCCGTGCCAGCTGATCTCCCGAATGGTGTCCAAGGAGACAGGTTGCTGCTTGTTCCACCGTCGCACGATCGGTGTCGCGGGCACCGGTCACGACCTGCCGAAGCAAAGTCCTTGACCGTGTCCTTGCCCGTCTGGCACGGCGGTGCCAAGACGGTTCCTGGGCCCTCACTGGGCCCGGCGTGATAGCAGGATAAAAGAAGGACAAAGTAGATGACTCTGGAAAAACCACACCTCGTCACCATACGAGGTCACAAGGGCGCCACTCCCTGTAAGAAAAAGCGCAGTGATTCGCAGGCCCAGTAAAGTGCAGCTGCGAGTGGTGTTTGCCTGCTGGTATCCCGACCAGCTGCGGACGTTGCGGGCAGCGCTCCGGCTTGCCGCGCGGGGTTGGACGCCAGGAGAGCTCAGGTGGACCCCCGAAGAGGAAACTACACCTAGCAAACCTGAGAGCCAACGCCTGGGTTTAGGGGGTTTAGGGTTTAGGGTTTAGGGGGTTTAGGGGGTTTAGGGTTTAGGGGGTTTAGGGTTTAGGGCCGAGGGCCTTGCAGGTTCTGCAGATCTCCGTGGGGGGGCTTCCGAGGTTCTTTTCAAGGGGGGGTTTGAGGTTGCTGATTGGGATGTCCTTAAGGGGGGGTGGTCCAAGGGGGGTAGGTAACCTAGTAATCCCCATTATTCCCCAATACTCCCTAAGCTTCCCTAAGGTTCCCCAAAGCTCCCTAGTACCCTCCCCCCTTGAACCACCCCCCCTTAAGGATCCTATAATGCTGAGTCTCTAGCCAGAGCTGCAAGCATGTACAGAGGGCTCTATGCGGGCTTCGCAGGATGTGTGCTTTCTCAGGATTCTGGTAGTGTTTTTTTTAGAGTGGGCAGCCCCAAATTTCGATTTTCTTGGGTACCGACTTCAAGCCACCAGAAACCTTGAGCCCCTAACCCAGCAATGCATGTAGGGGGTTGTGGAATTTCCTACACTTGTCCGAAGGGTATAGCAAAGAGACCCCAGCCCCAATCCACTTCATGAAGGCCTCTCTACATTTTACTTGTTGAGGAGCATGCAGACCCATCTCCGAACGAAAACTCATTCAAGCCTCAGTCAACTCTCGCTCGATCCTTTTGACGCCAAACCGCCTTAAACCCTTAACCCCTAAAGCCCAAAGCCCTAAACCCTAAACCCACGCCTAAACGCTAAAACCGAAGAACCCTTCGCCCCAAACCGTGAGCAATTCTCTATAGTGGCCCAGACCCTCGGCCCCCGAAAGTCAAAGCCCCCGACGCTCGAATCTCCAAAGCATGAACCCAGAGACTCCAATATCCCTTAATGACGGAATATACCCTAACTTTTAGTAGGATCCGTAATACGTGCGATTTGAGGAATGATTCCTTAATTAAATTGAGGGATATTGGAGTCTCTGGGAAATTCCGGTGGATCCTACCAGGTTCCTCGGTCCACCCGCCTGGCTCTGCGAGGCTGATAGGGGGGGGCTTAACTGTTTAGGGTGTAACGTTTAGGGGCAGGGGTGGATGAAAGGGCTTTCGACTCACCGTTGAGCATCAGGGCTCAGGATTGGTTTTGTTTCGGGTTTAAGGTTTCTGACAGAGGGCTTGAGGCGGTTTTGGGTTTCGGGGGTGGTGTAGTTTGCGGTTGTACAGCGTCGAGTGGTTAGATGATGTGATTTCCGTGACATTCGTCTTAGGTCGTGGCTTCGAACCCTTACAAACCTTCGCGAAAACCTGTACAAGAACACAAACCCTCGAGGCTCCACGATTCATCGCTAATGCACGCCACAAGCACCGTGTCTCGTTATGGGTGTAGGGTTTTGGGTTTAGGGTACTGTGTAAGGTTTAGAGTCTAGGGTTGACCCTGATTAAGAAGCCTTGGGCCTTTATTGGGGTTCTTTAGATGAATCCTACTGTTTTGGGGTTATGGACCCAGTGTTTCTTAATCAGGTTCCTACATTAGGGTTTAGGGTTTAGTGGAAGGGCGACTTCCTCGACCGAGCAACAGTTGTTGCTGGTAGTACGTGCTGTCTTCCAAACGTTTTATCCGCCTAATACAAGTTCTATGAAGGTCGGGCAAATATCGCCGTACGGTCCATATATACATACCTCAAGCCTGTTTGTATATGTGCTATATGTGCATGTGTATACGTATGAATGTCTGCAATGACTTGTTTCGAATCTCTCCAAATCTCCATTCCATCATTTGGCATATCAAGTTCCGTGATACGCTGCACAACCGTATCTAGAAAAACACACAGACATATGGGTGGTTGTCAAAAATTAGGGTCCCTTTTTGGGTCCTTATTATAATACGGCACCTAAGATTTAGGGTACCCCAAAAAGGAACCCTAATTTTGACAACCACCCATATTAATACTCTAGAAGAGCACTAGTCAAATATCAAAAGGCCTCTCTAGCAACACCTTTGAGCCCTATACCTTACAAGTTAGGTGAGTCTGCAGCGAGAGCGAAGCGCCCATTGCGCTTTCAACAAGTCCCTCAACTCTATACCCTAAAACCCTGAACCCTTAAATCCCTAAATCCCAAACCCGCAGCCCGAAACTCCAAACCCCTAAATCCCCAACCCGCAACCCGAAGCCCTAAACCCCAAACCCTTAAACCCCAAACCCCAAACCCGCAACCCGAAACCCTAAACCCCAAACCTGTAAACCCAAAAGCCCTGCAATGCCTTTTGCACCCCAGGGAGCGACCTGGCCGACGCGGCTGGTGCGCGGCCTGAAGAGTTTTTGGGTCTCAACCCGGCGGCCCCACGGGGGTTTAGCTTGGTTGTTAGGGTGGAGGGTTTAGGGTTTAGGGTTTAGGGGTTTAGGGTTTAGGGGTTTAGGGTTTAGGGTTTAGGGTTTACGGGTTTAGGGGTTTAGTGTTTAGGGTTTAGGGTGGAGGGGTCAGGGTTTAGGTTTTGGGGCTTAGGTAGGCCCAAAACCCCGATCGAATTATCAAGGCCCCTGCATCAGGGTTTAGGGTTTAGGGTCTACCTTAACCTACCAAAACCTACTTTTTCGTAGGGTCCCTATAAATTCCATATTAGGGTTTATAAAAAGAACCTACAAAAAAGCAGGGTTTGGTAGTTTAAGGTAGGGTTTAGAGTTTCGTTGGGCTTCAGGGCTTGAGGTAGTTGAGGAGTTCAGGGTTCAGTTAGGGTTTTTAGTCTAAGCCATCTACAGGTGGGTAGTTTTAAGGTGGGTAGTCTCCCATAAGCCTTCCATACCACTCCTATAAGGTAAAGGGGTCTTATGGGAGTAATATGGAAGAGGAACTACCCACCTGAAATGGGCTTCTATTTAGGTAGTGAAGGGGTTAAGGAACTTCAGGTAGTCAGGTAGATAGGGTTTTAGTCTTAGTTGGTGGGTTTGCAGGTAGTTGGGATTCTAGTTCGGATTCCCGGGCTTTTGCGGCACTTGAGTTTTTTCTTTCGGGGGGGACGGTGAGGTCTTTCGTATTTCGGACGCTTTACGTAGCTCACAGGCTTCAAACCTCTAAACCCTAAACCCTAAACCCCTAAACCCTAAACCCCTAAACCCTAAACCCCTAAACCCTAAAGCCTAAACCTTAAGCCCTAAACCCTAAACCCTAACTTTTCTTATCAGGGTTAGGCCGGAGCTTCGGTTTTCCAGACTCGAGTGTTTGGGAGTCAAAAAGGCTCTAGGGCATGTCAGGGCTGGAACCCCAGAAACTGAACCCTTAAACCCAAAACCCTAAGCCTGGAGATGTTGCGTCTTGGGGCTGCCGAATCGGATCGACGTAACCCTCGGCTTTGCAGCTTGCTTTTTTTTCGAGTGTTGGGGGCTTTGAGTTTGGGCGGCAGCCCGGCAGCCCAGCACTTCAGCCCGGTTCCCACAACATAAAAGCAGTCCTACCCTTTCCAAATCCCCAGCCCCAGCTCAGTCCCAGCCCCCCAGCCCGGGGCACCGCCATCCTCGCAGAGCCTCGCATCCTCACCACCTTCGCCGGCGTCCTGCAGGTGGGTCACTTTGTGTCCCGCACCCAAGACACCTACAAGCTCGGAGGTGCTGAACTACACGCCCGAACAGACCTGCGCACGGCTGCTGCAGGACATCCGCGTCCCATCCGGAGCCTTTCGAGACGCGCACTGCGGCTGGTCACAGGCAGTCTAAGAACCGGTGCCCGCGCAGATACCATCATGGGCAGCTAGAGGAGCCGTGGTATGGCTACGACGTGAGCACTGCCTCAGCATAGCTCGTCTCCCGCCAGAAGCGAGGACGCGCCGAGGCAAAGCTAAAGGAAGCGTTCCAAAAGTATCACCCAGACGTGACGTTGGTCGCTGCTGCAGTAAAAACAGAGGACCGCCGCACATCCGCAAGCGCTAGGGTCTAGGGATTTGGGGTGTGTGTGTAATCGTTCGTGATATAAGTAAAACAACAACGCTACAGCCCCGAAAAAGAAGCGACTGGTCTTGTGTTTTCGAGCATGACTTTACGTTTTTAGCTTGGCGGATTTCGACAGATAGGGTTTAGGGTGACCATTTTTAGTCTTGACAACGAAAAACAACACGTTGGCTGATCATCAAAAAAGTGCTTGCAGGCTTGCTTTTTTCAGCCCATAGAAGTAGGTTTCAGTTGATCGAAAAGGGTTTAGGGTTGAAGTTTAGTTGTCCAATTCCGAAGTTTCCACCACAGAATCAAGCCTGCCGGCCCACGAACTACGAAATCGAGATCGAAAAACCAAACCTCTCAAAACTTTCGGTCGAAACTTTCGGTCAAAACTTTCGGTCAGGAGTTATTGCCACCCAAACCGTTAGCAATTTCTATAAACCTTAAACCTTAAACCCTTAAACCCCTAAACCCCTGAACCAAAAACCTTGAACAAACCCCGAAGCCCAATCCGAGGAGCAACTTCCCAGCGGCGCCAAAGCAACAGCCGGCTCTGGAAGCCTGCGGCAGCCTCAAAGGGTATACCTAAGGCCTATTGGTTCCTCAAAGGGTTCCTCAAAGGGATCTATGAGGTCTCTTTCAGGGAATAAAGGCGTAATCCTTACTTGAGTCCCTTGTAGGGTTTACGGTTGAGAGTTTAGGGTTTGGAAGGTTTGCAGGGTTTGGAAGGTTTGGGAGGTCTAAAGGGTCTAGAGGGTTCAGGGGGTTTAGGGTTTGGGGTTTAGACTTCAGGGTTTCGCATGTGGGCTTGCTTTGTTGGGCTCCCCTAGCAGTTCGAAAACGGGTGTTGTAGGTTGTTAAGTGGTGATTTGCTCTTCGGGCGTCAAGGAACT